TCACTTAGTCAACTAATATGTAACTAGGGTCTTGTAAACTGAGAGATTTCATGTTAATTACTTTCTTTTTTATAGCATGGATTATGAATTACTTAATATTTTGCTAGTAATAACTGTCAAATTAAACATCTAAATCAATATTCACAAATATTCTAGTCTTTAATGAGCACCAGATTTCAAGAGATTTTGGAGCAGTCACCTGCAGAGAGACAATGATATTAGTCAAGATGCTTTATATATGTCAACTTATCAATTGATTGCAAACAAATCCCATTACTATTAGTTGACTACGAATTTCTGTAGTCAAGGACAACCCTAATATTTGCTTTATGAATTAATTGTTACTATCATAGGTGTTTGTGTTGTGGATATTATTTTAAGTCTTAATATTATATTCTTAATACTCAATATTTCCTAACAGAACGTTCTAGCACCACCATCACCACTGTGGAAGAGCAAGAGGAGACCTACTACACTGGTGTCCAGTTACCACAGAAAACAAAAACACTTGAACTCAAGCCAGAGTCCAAACGTTACTCTTCTACTTTAGAGAAGAAAAAAGAAAAGCCAGTTTTCCTCAGCCAGCTTTCCCCAGCAGCTGTAACCACTGGGGAAACAGCAAGGTTTACTGTCAAAGTGTCTGGCTTTCCAAAGCCGACTGTTCAATGGTCTCACAATGGAAAAGTGATAAAGAGCTCCACTATATACAAGCTGATAGAGGAGAAAGAGGAGTACACATTAGTAATCACCCAGGTCACATCTGAGTATGAGGGCGAGTACTCTTGCACTGCCACCAACAGATTTGGCAAGACAACATGCACCACATACCTTGAAGTGAAAAAGACTGATGTTAGCCAGGCAGAAAAATGGGTCGAGAAGATGTTCAAGGTCACAGGTCAACCTCCTACTTTCACAGTTCAGATCCAACCTGTGAGGTGTTCAGAAGGGGGAGAAGTTTATTTTAATTACAAAGCTAGTGGTGATCCAATTCCTGATGTGAAGTGGTTCAAGGGGGCTTTCCAGATCCAGCCAAGTAGAAACTGTATCATTATAGCCAACCCAGATGGATCAGGCTTCATCAATATTAAGAGCATCAAACAGGAAGACAGTGGCCTGTACACATGTAAGGCCTCCAGCCAGTTTGGGGAGGCGTCTTGTAGTGCTGAGCTTGTTGTGTTCAGAGAATCCACCTCTGTTTCTCGCAAACAAGAACAGCTGACTGTGGTGCAGAAGAAAGGTTATAAGGTTTCAATGACAGAACAGGCAACAGAGTCCCGCCTGTACCAAGTCAGCCTCCCGGGCCAGGACAGAGCAAGGTCAGATCAGATGGTATACACTATCGGCACTGAAGACCGGCAGATAATTCCCAGTGAGCAAGTGGGCCCCCTTAGAGAATTAGATATCTCTGCTGCCACTATTCATCGTGAACAGCTGACCCACCAGGCAGCAGTGCTTCAGTCTCATGAGATAGAGGAGAGGGTGTCTGTAGTTCCTACTCACCCAACTCAGGTCTCAGCTGTTCCTGCAAAACAGCTTCACATGGCAGCTTTTACATCCTCTGTCGAAGAGAGTCAGGACCTCACAGAGCAGCACTGTGATCGCATTCAAAGCCCTGAGGTCATTGAGCTTCAGGCGTCTAGAGAAAAGAGGTCAAAGGTGATGTCAGCTATTGCTGAGGAGCTCACCCCACTTTCTACTGTTAGCACAGAGCCTCTGGCTGACAGGATGTCTGCTACTGTCAAGCCCACTTCAGAACCTAAACATCTAGTTAGTGGGCATCAAGTCGAGTCACAACTGTCCATCCTAAAAGAAGAGTCTCAGGATATACCCAAACCACAGGCAGAGATGAGTTACAAGGTTAAGGAAGGTGTTAAGATTTTATACTCAGCCCAGTCTGCAGAGAAAAGGGTGCTTGCAGAGGGCCACACAACTGAGCTAGCAACAGCAGATTCTGCTATGAAGTCTTCTGTTGGAAAAGAACAGCACCGGCCTGTATTGGCTTCGGTTAGTGAGTCAAAACAGACTCTTTCCAAGGAGACCAAGTTCTCCATGCAGAGGCCTGCAGAGGAGACAGCCCATCTCTGTAAGGATAAAATTATGAAGGCAGCTCTAACTGCTGAAGAGAAGCGAATGCTTCAGGCTGAGCCCACTCAGCAGCTACCAAGTTTGGACAGTGCCATGTCCATTCAGTCACAGATAGAAGGAGAGCAATTGTTGCATCTGCAGGTTATCACAGACCAGGATGTCCTTCCATCTGAGAAGAGCTTCACCTGTGAGAAACCAGCACCAGAGAAGGCAGAAACCAGGAAGAGTCCTACTCTGCTGCACACTGTTAGCCAGGACGAGCAGAAGACAGTAGTTTGTGAGGACACATCAGAGTTTGAGGCCAAGGCTAGCACCATGACCATCCAGCCCCAGAAAGAGGCCCCCACTCTGTTGCATCTGCAGTCAACCCAACCTGTGGAGGCACTACCCAAAGAGGGTATTCTCATAATTGAGAAGCCTGACCAGCAGGTGGCAGCACAGAAACAAGAAAAGACAAGGAGTCATGCAGCAATCTTGGAAGAGAAAAGGGAGCTCACAGCAGATTATCACACTGAGCTGGATTTGTCTGTGACAGGCGTTCAGTCTCAGCTTCGAACTGAGCCCAGGCCTCAAAACATCCTCCAGCTATCTTATCAGCCCATGCAGCTGCCAAAGGAGATGCCAGTTACTACTGATGTTAAGCAGCAGCGAGCTTTGGTTCAAAAGGAGGATCGTTTGAATGTGATGCATGTCACTATTGTGGCAGACAGTCAGGCCTTAGAGGAGGGTCACACTGAGAGTCTTACAGCAGTGGATAAATTCACCTGCCAGATGGCTATGGAGCCAAAAGTTCCCACCGAGCCAATCCAGATTGAGGAGAAAGAGATCTCCACTGAGAGTAGTGTCCTTCTAGAGGCAGCAGAACAGGACTTTGCTGTTCAGATACAAGAAGGTCAGTCAGTCAGGCAGTCAATAGTGATGGATGAGAAGCGAGTGCTGATGGGTGAGCTCTCTCAGGAGATCACCAAATCTGAGTCCATTAAAGTTGCTGTCACCACACAGCCAAAACTGTCTCTTATGGCCTCAGAATCGAAAGTCAGCACAGCTCTTCCCAAAGAGATGACATTTGTGATTCAGATCCCTAAACCATCCAGTCTGAATATACGCCGTCAGCTGAGAGATGTCCTTCAATCTGCTGTGGCCAGCGACCAGCCAGTGTTACTGGCTGATGTTGTTGGAAAGTTACAGACTGTAGAAGTACAAGAAGTCAAAGTTCAAAGAGAGCCCAAGCGGGCCATGTTTACATATCTGATCACAACAACAGGTGCCCCAATGGAGATCACACTAGCTTTTGAGGGCAAATATCCTCACACAGCTGACTTCAGAACTGAACTCCAGGCAGCTTTTCACTCCATAGTGTACCAGGAAGCCCATGTTCTCAGTTCAGAAAAACCAGGCACTATGCAACTAGACAAACCTCAAAGGGCGCAGGTCACCTCGGCCCGCTCTAAGCAAATGCTGTCATCCATGGTAGAGACAGTGAGTGTGGCAGAAAGTGCAGTAGATTTCACTGCTGTTACATCTCAGGCTGCTGCGTTCAAGACCGAGTCTAAAATGGCAGTTGAATGTGCTGCAGCTGAGCAACAGGTTGTGGTGCAGGAATCCAAGGCAGCAAAGATGGAACAGTCCATCTCATCTAAGGTCAAAATTTCCACTGAGGCTCACATGGCTTTTGAGCAGTCGGTGCAGGTGTCAAGGCAGGAGGTGAGGTCAGTAACGGTGAAAAGTAGAGAGAAAGATGTAGGAGCAGCTATTGTTACCACAGCCCTTCCTCCCACCACTGTCCCCACTGAACAGATGGTGGATGTGAGCATCCAGAAGGAGCACAGGGAAGAGATCTTCAAAGAGGAGATCACAGTATCCAGGCCAGAACAGAGAGAATACCCAGTAATAGTCACCTCCCTTGAAGATCTATCCATAGAAGAAGATAGTAAAGTAACCTTTAGCACCACCATTAAGTACGTCACAAAGGTAAACTGGTTTTTCAATGGGCAATTGGTTAAATCTGGCAAAGAGTTCAAGTGTTCCAAAGACCATGACACATACACATTGGTTATCAACAAAGTTGTCAAGGAGAGGCATCAAGGAGAATATGTTTGTGAGGCTGAGAATGAAGCCGGCAGGACTACAACATCTTCAAGACTCACTGTGGTCTCAAGAGGTTTGATAATAGGAAAAATCAATGTATCATTCATTCATTCACCCATTTTCTCTGAGAATGACTAATCATTCACATAAACTGGTTCATTCAAGACCTTTGTCCTCACGTGAAATGATGCATTTGTCACTTTGGTCTCTATATTCATTTCATAGCTCAGCATGAGCACACTTAGCAGATCACTGGATAGTACTAACTCACCATGTCTTGTTTGTTCCCCATCATTGTATGGTCAATAATTGCCTAAATACCAGAACCGTCACAGCCATGCAAGTTTAGCTTAAGGCTCTATAGTCAATAAGCATCTTGTTGTAATGGTTGTCATGATCCTGGCCTTCAGGCATCTTTCATGGTCTTTTCATGGTCACTTTGGCATGTCAGTGGCAAGAGGTTCCTTTGTTTTAAATCCATGGTTTGTCACATTTCTTTCGGTTCATTCTCTTCACATGCCCAATGTCTCTCTGCATGCTTTCAGGGCTTCAACTTGACATGCTTCATCTGCCACAAACTCTTTGTTTCTCTTTCTTTTAGCCTGAACCCTAGCCCCATGAGAATCATGTTCAATGACAGCTTCTTTCAGGCAGCATTTTGTGAAACCATGGGGCTAATGTTCTTGCTATTTTTCTCCTTTACAGTCACTCCTGAATTGTCTTCCACCATTGTTGTACATTCCATCCTTGTTCCTGATATATAACTTTTTGCAAGAGTTTCATAGATTGCATTACTAACATTTATCTTTTGCCTGCGTGTGCCACAGTGCCACCTGTGTTTAGGGAGAAAATCACACCTCTGGAGATAAACGTCGGCAGCCAAGCCAAGTTCGAATGTGAAATTGAGGATGCTCTGGGTGTGACCTTCAAATGGTACAAGTCTGGCATTGAGATCAAACAGAGCGAGAAGTATAGGATCCTCAGCCGCCACAACGGTTCATCCCTGGAACTTTTGAACCCAATCAAAGCTGACAGCAGTGAATACACCTGCAAAGCTTTAAACCAGCATGGCACTGACAGCTGCACTGCCTCACTCATTGTCACCGGTAAGATCCCAGTGGGACCCTTTTTATATTGTTGCTTTACATATGTGTGTGTGTGTTTGAGAGAGAGAGAATTATATACATTTTTGCACTGTTTTTTACCCTGAATCATTTTGATGCAATAACGAAGTGATGATTTGTTTATAAACCGTATCTGGTGTCACATTTGGCAAGATATGATGTTGAGAATCAAATATTCTCATGCTTAGACCTACATCGATCACCAAATTGAAACTGCACATTCCACTTCTTAAAATTTGTTCAACTTTTTTTATGTTCTACCTGCTCTCCATAGAAATGTACCCACCGGTATTTGTATCAAAACCAGACCCAATGACTTTATATGTGGGCAAACAAGCTGTGTTCCAGTGCTCACTCACTGGATCCTCACCCATGGATGTTGTCTGGCACAAGGACAACATAGCTATCTCCTCCGAAGGGAACTATGTCATGAAATGTGAAAAGAACAAGTATTCCCTTCACATTAAAAGTCTCGAGCTGACTGACAAGGGAGTGTACTTGTGCAAGGCCTCCAACAGTGTTGGTACTGCTACCTTTACAACAGAGCTCAAGGTCATTAACAAGCCTAGCTTTGTTAAGACCATTGAGCCGGTGTCAGCCGCTGTCAATGACCCATTGAGGCTGGAGTGCCAGGTGGACGAGGACACTGGTGTGACCGTCACCTGGACGAGGGATGGCAAAAAAGTCCACCAAAGCATGGATTGTAAATTGTCCTTTGAGGACAAGGTGGCTGTTGTTGAGATACCTAAGTCCAAACAGAAGGACTCTGGGAAATATGTTTGCACAGCCACAAATGAGGCTGGGAGCTCATCCTGTGAGGCTGTGGTAACAGTTCAAGGTAAGATCTTAAAGATGATCTTTCCGTTAGCTTTGATGAAAACATATCTCTTGAAATGAGCTGGTGGATTATTGCTGGCAACTATTCAGCCAACTGCAAGCTGATGCTAACACTATGCACTGCTATCTTATTTTGCATTTCTTTTTCACACCTTTCTGTCTTGTTTTTTTTCTGTCTCTCTTTTTGATAATGTTTAAAAATCTTGGTGTTTTTGAACTAAAAACCTATTTCAGAGCCCCCTGTCTTTGTCAAGAAAATGGAACCTAAGATTACATGGAAACAAGGTATAGCTGCACGCTTACAGTGCACTGTAAAAGGATCGCCGGAACTTCGCATCCACTGGTTCTGGAATGAGAGAGAGCTTAGCGATGGAGAAAAATATAAAACCTCTTTCAAGACTGGAGTTGCCACTTTGGAGATAATAAACCTTTTGGTCACAGACAGTGGGAGTTACACCTGTGAGGTGTCAAATAATGCGGGCAGTGAGAGCTGCAACACCCTTATAGCTGTTAAAGGTTTGTCAAATCTTGCATTTACTTTACACTTACTGTTCAAGTATGACAACCTTTGGTATTAACTGCTTCACTTGTACTTCACTTACCCTTTTAACACCCAGAGCCACCATCTATTAGAAAAGAACTGCAGACACTAGAGGCGGTGAAGGGAGCAGCAGCTCAGCTGGAGTGTGAAATCACAGGAACAGCTCCTTTTGAAATCAGCTGGTTAAAAAATAAGAAAGCCATCACCAGTGATCAGAAATATAAAATAATCTCCCAAGATTCCTTGTCAAGGCTGGAGATACAGACCTTTGAAAGTGCAGATGTTGGAGATTATCAGTGCGTCATATCTAATGATGTGGGGAAAGTCGCCTCTAAGGCTCTAGCTAAACTTAAAGGTTAGTAAAAAGAGTTTAATAAAACTGTCTCATTGACTGAGGTTTAATCTTGTGCTTCAAGGTCAGTTTTTAACTCACAATGTGATTTTGTAGAGCCACCAACTTTCTCAAAGAGGGTTGAGAGTGCTACAGCAGTGTTGGGAAATACAGTGAAACTACAGGGAACCCTTAAGGGCTCGGCTCCAATCACTGTTAAATGGATGAAAGACTCTGAAATACTGAGAGATGATGATCCAAATATCAAGATGGTGTTTGAGAACAATGTTGCTTGCTTGTCGATAACAACAGTGGCCATCAACCATGGTGGCAAGTATTCATGCCAAGCTGAGAATGAGGCTGGACAACAAAAATGTGAAGCTACCTTAACTGTGCAAGGTCAGATGACATCTTTGATGCAGATATACTTATTCTAGCTTTTATGTCGAGTTCTAAAGTTTCTTGTGTCTCAACTCTTAATAACTAATGAGTCTGTCTTATCCCAGAACCTGCCAGAATCGTAGAACCTGCAGAGTCCATTAGTGTGACTGCAGGGGATTCAGCCACATTGGAGTGTAAAATTTCTGGAAGCCCAGAGCTCAAAGTGAAATGGTTTAAAGATGGGAAGGAGATGATCAGTGGTCGTAAATATAAGATGACTCTGAAGGACAATATTGCCACCATGAAGATTCTTACAGCAGAAAGAGGAGATACTTCAGAGTACAAGATGGAGGTGTCGAATAAAGTTGGGAAAGACCTGTGCACATGCTCAGTCACTGTCTTAGGTTAGCTTCTGGTTTCTGCTTTTTTAACATTTGATAATGATTTTGCTGTTTTTTAAATGCTAAAAATCTGAGTCTGAGTCTTAGTTACTTAAGTTACTACTCTGGAATTTCCCCATTGTGGGACAAATAAAGGAATATCTTATCTCTTATCTTATCTTAACAACATCTTACTCTAGTTGTTTATTTTTCTAAATACAAGGAAATTAACATTGACTGTATTTTGGGACTTACACTTAGTTTGGAGTGCCATTTGCTTTTGGATTTTAGCTGAGTGATTCTTTCCAGAAATAGTTGAAACTGTGATAATACATTAGATGTTTTTTCTTCAACAACCAGATCGGATAATGCCTCCAACTTTCACCAAGTCCCTGAAAAGAGTTGATGGTAACATTGGTAATGATGTCTCCATGGATTGTAAGGTGTCTGGGTCCCAACCCATGACCATAACTTGGTTCAAAGATGACCAGGAGATTGCGTCTGGATCCAAATTCCAGCCTGAATTCAAAGACAGCTCTGCTACATTGCAAATTATTCGGCTGGAAAAGGCCGACTCTGGAGTATACAAATGCAAAGCCACCAATTCAGCAGGCTTTAAAGAAACCAGCGGCACACTCTATGTCAAAGGTTATGAACGCTTAGCTTATGTTGTGCTTCTGTTTGTTGTGTATAATCCTTGAATGATTTCATGCTAACATGAAATGCACAATTTGTTTTGTTTGTGGCCTCCAGAGCCCCCAGTGTTCACAGTGAAACCAGACAACCAGGATGTTATACCAGGAACCACTGTTTCCTTCAAAGCAGCCTTCACTGGAACAACTCCTTTAGCTGTTAAGTGGTTCAAAGAAGACAAAGAGATTATAACTGGAGGCACATATTTCATAAAGAAAGATGCCTCTTCAACTACTTTGGAGATTCACTCTGTGAAACCCAGTGACTCTGCTAAATACACATGCCAAGTATCCAATGATGCTGGGAAGGTGGATTGCACCACAGTCCTCTTTGTTAAAGGTGCCTGTCTTCAGTATCATGTGCAGTTGCATAAAAATGTCTTGACATTCTTGAGTGACAGAATCTCTTTTGATACTAACATAATGTCTTCTGTCTGATAATGAATGTTAACCTCTTCTTCAGAACCTCCCGTGTTTGTGAGGAAGCTTGAGGCGACCAAGCTTGTTACCAGTGGCGACTCCAGAAGGCTCGAGTGCAAAGTGACGGGTAGTCCCGTCATCAGTTTTAAGTGGTTCAAGGATGAGATGGAGATCAGCTCTGGTCCTAAATACACAATGGCCTTGACTGACTTAGTGGCATCTCTGGAAATAGTCAACTGTTCAGTACAGGATAGTGGAGATTATGTCTGTGTGGCATCCAGCGAGGCTGGTAGTGACCGCTGCAGCAGTACAGTTACAGTCAAAGGTTGGTTTAGTATGAAACATTACCAGAATGAAGACTTATTGTGACATTGAAGGAATTTGGCTTTTCTTCAGTTCGAATGACAATCATCGTGACAGCCATCGTGGATGAGGGCCTAGTTGAGAACACCTGCAGATACTATTGCTAAAATGGGCTGTGGTTTCTCCATAGGGTAAACACTGAGGATGTCTTGCTTGTCATTAGAGCTGATGAAGGGATTCAGAAAAAGCCTCAACTTCACAATAAAACTCCAGTGAAATCTTTTATTTTGTCTTTGCATCATCACACTTGTGTAGTCCAGTGTTGACACATCTGTTGTTTTCTTCTAGAGCCACCATTGTTTGTGCGTAGCTTGGAGCCCAAAGATGTGGTAAAGGGTTCTGAGATGATGCTAGAGGGCCAAGTCTCTGGTTCTGCCCCTTTCACTGTGTCTTTTTATAAAAACACAAAGCTGATTAGGAATGACAAAAGACACAGGATCACTGTGAAAGACGATCTGATAGCCCTGCAGGTGCTGGCAGTAGAGGCAGGAGATGTTGGCTTGTACCAGTGTACCGTTGAGAATGAAGTGGGAAGTGCCTTCTGTGATTGTCAAGTAACACTAAAAGGTTAGTTTAGATGCTGGACATATCTTGGAATACATTTTTCTACTGCCATTTCAAAAACCTTTTAAAGCATTTTAAATCTGCTCCATACCTATATTTGGATAGCCTCGCAAAGCTAGCACACAGTTCCCTCTTTGCTCACTCTGATCTGGCAATGCTTAGCAGACATTTGTTTGAGGATTATTTCTAAAAAGGTTTGCAGATACAGCAACATTAAGTCAATTCATTTTTTTGTATTGGCAAAAATTACACATTTTCCTAATAAACACGTTATTCAGAGAAGGAAAACATCTAAACCCTAAACCGAGAAAATGGCTCCACAAACATTGGTATATTTCTCAGAAACACCATCAAAATCAGTTTCTCAATAACTTATAGAAATACCTCAGCTAAGCCAAGTTTCATTTTATACAAAGTACACGCATGCATAATGCATAATTAAATTTGCTAGATTTGGATCAGGAGTTTGTAGACTGTTTACCATCTGAGCACTCACTCAAGCTCTCTGATTAGACCAAAATGTGTCAGGCTCACCTGATCCTTAATGGATGTCTTCCAAACATAACTCTTGTTGAAAAGACTGAGAGTGCGGGAAGAAGTCTGACTTTGCGAGGCTAATATTTTGTAGAGATGCCAATAACATTCATAAAATGTTTCCTTGTAGAACCACCATCATTTGTGCGAAAGCTGGAGAACGTAAGTTCTTTGGTGGGCAGTGAAGTTTCTCTGCAGTGCATTCTGAAGGGCTCAGAGCCTATGACTGTATCCTGGATGAAAGACAACCATGAGCTCAAAGAGGCTGAGCACATTCAGATAACATATGAGAACAAGACTGCTCTGCTGCACATCACCAACTTACAGAGCAAACATGGTGGCAAATATTCTTGCCAGGCACAGAATCAGGCTGGGAGCCAGACGTGCTCTGCTGTGTTAACAGCTAAAGGTTGGTTAAGATACTGAAGAACTTCTATTTGAAACTGAATTTTCATCCTTCCAGTGGTGCGTTCAGGAAATCCTTATCAACTTGACAAGTCACAGATTTATTAGTTTACTAGCAGGATTTTCCTCTCAAATGGCCAACACTGTTAAATCCCAGTGGTAAACTGAGACAAGTCCGTTTTTGACTTACACCTGTGTCATTAAAAAAACAAAACATTGTTTTTTGTTACATTATATCCTGCAGGGAAATTTTCATTGGGGATGGATTCACCATGGACCCATGATCTTACAAGTTGATAAGGACCCAGTGCATCTAATCTTTACTTTCTGTTGTCTGTACTGTTTAGTACATTAGGTTTGAGATTTTTCACTGACTGTTTTGTTTGACATCTCAGAGCCAGCTAAAGTCACAGAGGAGGCCAAGTCTATCAGTGTAACTCAGGGAGATCCTGCCACACTGGAGGCCAGGTTCTCAGGCACAAAGCCTCTGAAGGCCAAATGGCTGAAGACTGGCAAGGAGCTGACCTCAGGCCAGAGATATAAAGTACATGGCACAGATACCAGCTCTGTGCTCAAAATTATTAAAACTGACAAAAGTGATGGTGGTGAATATACTTTTGAGGTTTCAAATGATGTCGGCCAAAGTTCTTGCGAGGCCACACTCACCATTCTCGGTCAGTTCTTAATGTGTATCCTAGAATTTAAAATGGCTGAATTACATCTTACAGTGAACATTGCCTCTCACTCTTTTTTTCTCCTATCTATGTCAGATCAAATAATTCCACCATCTTTTACAAGAAAACTGAAGAAGACAGAAGGTATCAAAGGATCGTTTGCTCATCTGGAGTGTCTTGTATCTGGCTCCCTGCCAATAACCATACAGTGGTACAAAGACGAGAAAGAGATCCAGACTGATGAGAAACGCAAATGCACATTCTTTGAGAATGTTGCTTTTCTGGAAATCTCTAATCTTAACAGTAAAGATAGTGGCAACTATACCTGCATCGCTAAGAACAAAGCAGGAACTGTTCAGTGCTCCGGGATCTTGTTTGTCAAAGGTTTGAAAACAATTAATGTTTGTAGTATTTATCATTAGGTGGATGTGCCTAATCAAAGTATAGCTGTACAACTAAAATGATCTTTGCTATATGTGAAGATTTCACAAGCATACATTTATTTTTCTCTTCCAGAACCACCATGCATTATTGAAAAACCTGAATCCATGAATGTTTTGCCTGGCTCAAAAGTCCAGTTTAATGTGTTGGTCTCTGGCACGCCGCCCCTGACCACCAAATGGTTTAAAAACAAGAAAGAGATTACATCCAGCGCTGATTGCACTGTGAGCAAAGACAACACCTCAAGCTCACTGGAGCTCTTCTTTGCCAAAACCTCAGATTCTGGAGACTATGTCTGTGAAATACAGAATGATGTTGGTTCCACTTCGTGTCAGGCAACACTCTTTGTTAAAGGTTAAAATTCTTTATGTAAAACTCAGTTGATATTTATATGTCTCCATCCAATTGTTTTTATGGACATTTTCACCCTTCACTTTCTGACTTCATTTCCATTTAAAACTTAGTGTTGTTTTCAAAACTTTGCTGTTTGAAGGGACTGTATAGCACTTCCGCCTTTTCGACTGCATTGGCAGGGTCCAAAGTGGTTTTGGCAGGGTCCATACCTTTTGCAAATGGCACAAGAAAAAATATATCATTAAATTGAATTGGATCTGCCCTTTTACAATACAAAAAGAAAACCACTGCTCTTTACAAATTGTCAGTTGGGGAAGAAATTCCACATACCAAAATATTGCAAAAGGTTTCACACTCTGTCTCCGTCAAAGAGACTATCACGCCAAAAAGCTATAAAAAAAATAGAGAAAATACATAAACGAGCAAATACATTTATTAAATAAAAAAAATTTAATTTAAAAACATTTGGATGGCAAGACTTATTATCAACTTTGCAGAGATTTATTTTTCTCATCTGCTGTTTTATTTTATTTCTCAGAGCCTCCTAAGTTCACACGGACCCCGGCCCGTATGTCTGTGGTCCGTCCTGGTCAGAATAAAGTGTTTGAGTGCCAGGTGACTGGCACACCTGAGATAGACATATACTGGTTCAGAGAAGGCTCTGAGATCAGCCCCAGCAATCGGCACAAGATGGCCTTTGTTAACTCTGTGGCCACTCTGGAAGTCTGTGGGGCTGATGCCAAAGACAGTGGGCTTTACTACTGCGAGGCTCGCAATGAGGCTGGCAGTGAGAGCTGCAGCATGGAGCTCAAGGTCAAAGGTTAGTTGCGTCAGAAGACATGATGCTCATTGTGCAGAAGGTTTAAGAATATAGGACTGGAGGCAAAGGTTCCCCAAAACCTGAAGAAGCTAGCTACCGTTCCTGGATTACCTGCCATACTGCTTAAAATAACTGTATTGGCATTGATTTCAGTTAAGAGTTTTAATGTTTGGTTCCTAAAACCAAAAGATTTCAAACCACCATTTTAAAAAAACATATCTTCCATAAACTAGCTGGCCTAACAGATTAATGGAGAAGTTCAAATTGTTTCTCGAACCAGCAAGAAAGATTTCTATCGGAAACTTTGCTTCCAAGAAAATTCTGATCCAGTCTATATCTGCTAAATATTTAACCCTTGAGAAAAAGGAAGGTGACATTTTGTTTTTTCTCATCTTAGAACCGCCATCATTTGTTAAAGAGCTGGTTCCAACTGATGTTGTGAAGGGCTCCAGTGTCTGTTTACAATGTCAGATTGCTGGGACTGGTCCATTTGAGATAACGTGGCACAAAGATGCAAAGGAGATCAAACCTAGTGCTAAACATGGCTTCTCCCAGATAAATGGCACTGTGGGTCTAGAGGTGCACAAATGTGACGCTGTAGATGTCGGTGAATACCAGTGTACTATTGCTAACGAGGTGGGAAGCTGTACTTGTAAGAGTACGCTCAACCTCAAAGGTTGGTCTAATCATAATTTCAAATCCACATTTTTAGCCTTTGAGGTAATACCATTTACTTTAACATTTTATTGATTTCTCTATTAGAACCACCAACATTTACCAAGAGGACTGAGAACACTGCCACTGTTCTGGGTAAAATGGCAGAGTTTCAGTGTATTGTGGAGGGTTCTCCCACTCTCTCTGTACAATGGCAAAAAGATGAGAACTGGATTTTGGAGGATCCAAAGATTGAGAGAACATTTGAGAACAATGTGGCCACCCTCAGGATTTCTGCCTGTGAGGCGACACACAGTGGAAAATACACCTGCCAGGTGGTTAATGAGGCTGGGCAGGATAAGTGCTTTGCCACGCTCACGGTGCAAGGTATACCTGTGTTTAACTAATCATGGCTATCAAATCTTTCCATGGTCTTGACTTGGTAAGAAAGTATATAAATTATTGACTTTGTTTTGCATTGTAGAGCCTCCTAACATCACAGAGAAACCTGAGGTGATAAAGGTTACAGTCGGAGATTCAGTCAATCTGGACTGTAAGGTAACAGGCTCCCCTGAGCTCAAAGTTAAATGGATGAAAGATGGCAGGGAGCTTCAATCCATCAGGCAGCACAAGCTGACGTTTGAGAACAACATCAGCAGCCTAAAGATTCAGTCTGCTCAGAAAGAGGACGAAGGAGAGTATGTCTTCGAGGTGGCAAACCACATCAGTAGCTGTACCTGCAAAGTCAAAGTGATCGTGCTAGGTTGGTGTGAAAAACATAACTCCTGTGGTAATTAATGACATGTTGGACAAAGTCTAATTTCTTTCTTATTATTCTTTTGGTAACAGAGCAAGTAATTGCCCCAAGCTTCATCAAACCTCTCGTAGACATGCAAGAGATTTTGGGCTCCTTTGTTCAGATTTGTTGCAAAATATCTGGATCCCACCCTATCTCTGTGGAATGGCAGAAAGACGGGACCAAAATCTTGAGTGGTGTAAAACACAAACTGATTCAGCAGGACAATTCTGTGTCCGTTGAAATTGAACAACTAGAGAGATCTGATGCAGGATCCTACTCTTGCAAACTGACCAACGCAGCAGGAAGTTGTGAATGCAGTGGATCCCTCATGGTTAAAGGTTAGACAGTGTTTTCCAACATGATTCGTCATGTAATCCTCAACCAAAGGTGAGTACCTCTTTAACCTGGTCCGTCTTGTTCTCTTCAGAACCTCCCAGCTTTGTGACACTGCCTGAGTCCCAGGTGGCTCTACCCAACGCCACAGTACGCTTCAAAGGCACATTTAAAGGAACACCTCCCTTCATGGTCAAATGGTTCAAGGACGACACAGAGCTCATGACCGGGCCCACTTGTTTCACAGGGCTGGATGGGCTGTCCTGCTTCTTAGAGCTCTATTCAGTGGGTGTCACCCAGAGTGGAGTTTACTCTTGCCAAGTCAGCAACGATGCTGGATCTGTACGCTGTAGTGCAGACTTGACAGTCAAAGGTTGGATTTACATCTTTTAAATCAACTCTTGCGTGGCTGTATTCATCTCACATCTGCATCGCTGGCTAAAACTAGTGATTCTCTGTCACATTTTAGCAGCCTTTAGCACACTTTCATTGTCATTCATCATCAGTTGAAGCTTTTTCATTGCTGCGGCTTCTCTTTGAAAACTGTGTTGCCTTTGTGTTGCACCTACCTCTTCCATATCCACCCGGCCTCTGCTGCTAACCCATCATTGTCAGCTCATCTTCTTAGCTCATCTCATCTGCTTTCCTCCTGCCTGTCTTAAATGTCCCAACTTGCTTTCAGCAGCTAACATGTCTGTATTTTGGCTTTCCAGAACCACCTGAGTTTGTGCTGAAACTCCCTGCCACAAAGTTTGTGAAGCAGGGTGAGTCACTCCGACTGGAGTGCAAAGTCAGTGGCACAGCCCCTCTGAAAGTGACCTGGTACAAACACGACACCAAGGTCACAGACGGGGGCAACTACAGGACATCCTTTGTTGACTCAGTAGCAGTCCTGGAACTGCGCTCTACCAGCTTTGATGATGATGGAGTTTACACCTGTGAAGCTCAGAATGATGCTGGCAGTGTCAGCTGCAGCACCACACTTACCGTTAAAGGTCAGCCTCTCACTGACTTCCTAATCATCATTTATTATTAATGGTCTGACTTTCTGATGCACTGGCTCTTCAGTGTGTTGAGGTTTTAGTCAAGGTTTGTTGTATTGCTTAAAGCTGGAATACGTAACATTTTTATATAGCCTTCCGTTATAGTGCATCGCCAAACATTCAGGCCAGAGCCTTTACCTTGGTTTGAGACTCCTTGCTTTTTTCCGCTGAAATGTTCATCAGCTTGTCAGGTTGCCCCCTTTTTAGGGATGAATGCATTCACAACACCATTTTAGCTGTACTACAGTTTTTGTTGTAGGTCCAACAAATTTACACAACTCAGTCATCTTAACTGTAGTTCCAACATCCTTCAACAACAACTTTATCTCACCTGTAGTTTCAGTGCACTTCCAGAACTCCATCTAGACTGTAACACCAACATCCTTTCCCAAAAATTGTTCCACAACAACACAGCCATCTCAACTGTAGTTCCAACAAATTTCCACAACAACCACCATGTTATTCAATTCAATTCAATTCAATTTTATTTGTTATATCCGCCAATTCATAACAGAAGCTTATATCAGGGACACTTTTCAAATAGAGCACGGTCTAGACCGAACTCCTTTTAACATTTACAGAGACCCAACAGCTACCACCATGAGCAAGCATCTTTGGCTGTACGGGTTGGCAAGGAATAAACTGCCTTTTAACAGGAGAACCTCGGACAGATTTCCTTCGGCTCTAGGTGGGTGGTCATCTGCCTTTTGACCAGTTGGGGAAGAGAGATGAGAGACTGAGAGAAACAGAGAGAGACCAAAAGACAAAATGATGTACACAACAACAGTTTAGCAATAACTACAGTAATAGTACATGATCGATGACGATCATGAAAAAAGACTGAGACGATGACAGCAGCAACGATGGGGACAGCGAGCACGAAACATATACGAGCACCCCCCTTTCCCCCCCTATTAATAATTACCTTTTAATAATAAACTAATAATAATAACAATAATATTCATGTTGATTTTAGCAATGGTAGGTCAAGCAGCGACCTATGGCAGCCGAGGCTCCACCAGATCCATGAGAACCTGCTAAGATAAAGCACAAAACTCCGGGAATAGGAAGTGAATGCTTATAACATTGAATTAATGGGATCATTGAATGAGCTGCATTTAAAGAGAGGGATGGAGGAGGGAATGGATGAGGAGCTCGTTGCCACCTATGGGCGAAATCCCCTCCGTATCTAAGCCATAGCTGCAATAATAGGAGGCAGGACTCACCTGATCCAGCCCTAACTATAAGCTTTATCAAAGAGGAACGTCTTAAGCCTACTCTTAAATGCGGAGAGTTTGTCTGCCTCCCTCCCATGTTATCTGTGGTCCCGTCCAAAATTCACAAGTCTGCCCTTGAGTGGAACTCCAACATACTTTCATTAAAAAATCTGCCATCTTAGTTGTAGTTCTAACTATTTACACATAAATTCTGTCATCTGGGTTAATTTTTCAACATTTTTTTACAACTCAACTCATCTTTACCGTAGTTTCAACAACTTGCACAACAAGCCCGTCATCTCCTCTCACCTCAATGCACTTTCACGACCCATCTTAGCTACAGTACAAATTTTTACAACAGCTCCACCATTTTAATTACAACAGTCTTAATTTTGCCAAGTTAGACGTATCTGTCATGTTAGCTCCATTATACACAAGTATGCCACTTGAAACCATCTCTGTTCCATCAACCTCCCACAGCAAATTTCCATGAACTTTACATACTTACTATGTCATCTTATTTGTAATGTAGCATAAACAAATGCCACTTACAACATTTCTAGCCTGAGCTAATTTACAATGCCCATCTCTAGATACACCTTTAAAATACATAAAACTCAAATACAGAAACAGTACAAAACACAAACTAAACGATAACTATCTAAATTAAAAACACAGAAGTCAAGAAGAAATATGGACAGAATACATGACTCAAACTAATACATCATAAAATTCCCAATTGTAGACTGTAGTCACACAAACATCTGCCAGCTTTGCCATCTCGACTTTATTTCCAACCAATTGCACCCTCCACTATCTTAGCAGTAGTTCCAACAAACTTCCTTAACAACTCCACCATCTTAACTGTGGCCCTTTTGCCACTGTAGAGTGCGACAACACGTGAAATGTTACGGGTTTCAGCTTTAAGATTTCATCATGGATACTTTACCCGTGTATGCCTCTTTAACAGTTTCCTGATCTTTTTGTAGACCCCCCCTCCTTTGTCAAAGTACCTCAGCCCGTTGAAGGGCTGAAGGGTAAGGACGTGAGTCTGTACTGCGAGATGAGCGGTACAGCTCCGTTTCAGATCACCTGGTTCAAAGACAGGAAACCTTTGATGGAGAGCAGGAAATATAAGATGGTGAGTGAGGGCAGCTCAGCTACGCTGCATGTCATTGGGATAGAGCCCTCGGATGCTGGCGAATACGAGTGCAAAGTGTCAAACAGTGTAGGAAGTGACACCTGCCAGACGTCAGTTAAACTCAGAGGTCAGTAGAAATTGCGATGGTCTCAAATGAAAATCAAAAATATTAGATTTTCAAATTACTTTGTCACCTTGCTGACTTTCCCTTTTGCGCTGTTTGTCTCCTCTCTTCAGAGCCACCATCGTTTGTGAAGAAACTGTCAAACATGACAGTGATACTGGGAGAGGAGGTGACCCTTGTGGCCACTGTTAAAGGCTCTGAACCCATTACTGTGTCCTGGGTTCAAGACAAGGATCACATTCTCAGGGACGGTGACAACAGGAAAATCACCTTTGAGAACAACCAGGTCGCTCTTAAAGTCTTTAAGGCCGATGCAACCACGGCAGGCAAATACACCTGCCAACTCAGAAACGATGCTGGGAGTGTGGAGTGTTTCGCTAACTTGACTGTTCTAGGTTTGTAAACATATAATTCTCTCTTTCTCATGCAGTTTTTTTCCTTCCTTCCCCTGCAGGTTTGATTAAAAGCATGTTCTGCTCCTTCTCTGTTGATTCCAGAACCTGCTAAGATAGTGGATAAGCCTGATGCTCTGAGCGTGACGGCAGGTGACATTGCCGCCCTAGAAGTCAAAGTGTGTGGAACCCCTGAGCTCACACCTAAGTGGTTCAAGGATGGTGTTGAGCTGGCCTCCGGGAGGAAATACAAAATTTCATTTTCTCGGATGATTTCCAGCCTGAACGTGCTCTCTGCTGAGAAAGTGGACTCTGGAGAATATACATTTGAGGTTATGAATGAGGTCGGGAAGGACCTGAGTAAAATTAATCTCACTGTTTTAGGTTGGTGTCTTCTTCCTAATTTGAGTTTGATGGCTAGGGCTGGGTTTTGTTTGAAAATGTCCAAGTTGAAATTTGGTACCAGCACCAAAACTATCTCTTTTGTTTTCATACCTTTGAGAAATATAAATATGGTTTTCTACAGAAACCTTCTTTTTTAATTTACCACAGATGACTAGGTTTTCAAATGTTAAATGTTGGCTAAACACAAGCAACCATACAAGAACTTTGTCAAAACAAAACCCAGTTGAAAATTGGCATAATTTGTATCAGGAACTATTTCAAAAGAATGAGACAAGCTAATTTTTGACCAGACATTCAGTGTCAGCTGTTCGTACTTGGTGCAACACCTTTCGGTTTGTACCAAAAACGCATTGAGGTTTCATACCCAGCCCTATTAATGTCCACGCATTTACATTTGTATTTGTCCTGATGCACTACTAACTCCATGTTTCCCTCCCTAATAGATAAGATCGTACCTCCAACATTCTCAAGGAAGTTGAAGGATTGCAACACAGTGGTCGGAGATGCCGGAGAGATGGAGTGCAAAGTGTCGGGCTCCCCACCTTATACCATCTCATGGTACCACGATGGGGAGGAGATACAGAGCGGGCCAAATTACGAGATTTCATTCAGTAACAACAACTGCATGCTCAAAGTGCCCACGCTGAAGTTGTCCGACTCTGGAGTGTATAAATGTAAAGCTGTCAACAAGGCAGGATCCAGTGAAACCACAGCCTCCTTGGTTGTAAAAGGTCAGAGAACTACAGACAGAGAAAGACTGCATGTTGCACTCACTTCTTATATTAATTACTTATTCAATTAACCCTTATAGTCCCAGGCCAAAAAATTTTAAATGTCTTATTAGTTTTAAGTATGAATATATGGCACATTTTCTGTTTTTACGATAACTAAGGCTATTTAAAAAAGTGAAAGGATTGTTGAAGAATATTAATGTTTTAGATTTCAGGTTTGCCTTTAAATGTTCTGTTAAAGCATTTATTTTTAACAGTTCTGAAGGTGTAACATATACTAGGTCATGACAGAGCAGCAAGGTAGGTTTTTGGTGGAGCAGACAACTTACACCAGCCTGTAACAAAAAAAACAGGACCTTTCTGACTTTAAAAGGGACGAAGTCAACTTTTCTTTGATTAGTAAATATTGATGTAGACTGTGTCACATTATTGTGCTTCCATTTTGGCCAGGGATTTAAATCTCAAGTGACCATACAGATTAAATAAAAGTAAAGTAAGGCAAAGTACTTCTAGTCCCTTAAATTGCTTAAAACTCAGATTCCACCATCGTTTGATCTCTGTTACTCTATGTCTACACCCAGAACCTCCATCTTTCGTGGTGCCACCACAGCCGGTGGAAGCCATGCCAGGCTCAAATGTGACTTTCTCTGCCATGGTGAAAGGCAGCGCCCCGCTCAAGCTGAAGTGGTTCAGAGGAACAAAGGAGATTGTGGCTGGACAGAGCTGTACTTTCTCCCTGAAGGATAACCAAGTTATTTTGGAGCTTTACAATGTGGACAGAACTCACGCTGGAGAGTACACCTGTCAGATAATTAATGATGCAGGAAAGGAGAGCAGCCCAGTTAATCTGATTGTCAAAGGTCAGTCTCTCTTTTTGCAGCATTATTTAGATCCACAAACTGTAGTTATGCTGGGGAGCATCTGCTGATACTAAATAATGCACCTTTACAACAATTACAATAGAGTTTATTTAAGATAATTGATATACTCTATGGTAGTTTAATCTGTAACAATGCATCATATTTTATGAGCTGATTATATGATTTATATGTAAAATCAGCAAAGTCTACAGCTGTTGAACAGATATGGGGATGAGTCTGGGATATCCTGGACGAGCCCCCAAAATATGTTATGACTCCCCCACAAATGGCTCATTAAAAAATAGGTCTAACCTCTAATCTAATCACTGAGCACAGTGAATTTAATTTTCAAACAATGAAAAAGACCAAAAGTCCCAAAAAGTTAAAGCTAATCAAAATAACTGAAACAACAAAGTTTTGATGGGCTGGCCAAAATTAACATAAAGAAAAGAAGTAGCTCAGACCAGCTTGGATAGGGCCATAGAATCCAAGCTCCTTCTCTCTACTATAACCTAACCTTAACCTTGAGGGAACTTAACCTATAAATAAATAAAAACCCCTAAAACTGAACTAAAGGTTCCATCAGACAACCATCAAACAAACTCAACCACAGCTGAGAGGGGAACAGAACATATTAGTCAACATGTATGTATCTGACCAGCAGGGGGGGAGCATGTAACACTGAGTAGAGTTTAATATTTTACATGGAAATGTAGTAGATCAGAACAATAAAGTAGTAGTCATTTTAAATTCTCAAGCAATGTACAAGTACTGCGAACTATACCTTTGAGCTTGAGTATCTGGTAATGGTGTAATATACCGTTACACCACAGCAACAAAAACTCTTTAGCTCCTCCTCCTGGTTGGAGGAATACATTTTAAAAGAAAAATTTTAAACGCTTGGCAAATATGATCTAACACAAATGTTGTATTTAAAGGTCCAGTGTGTAACATTTAGGAGGATCTATTGTCATTAATGGAATATAATATTCAGGGATGTATTCATTAGTGTATAATCACCTCAATGTAGGAATCCTGTTTTAGTCACATTAGAATGAGATGTTTGGATCTACAGACGGAGCGGGTCCTTTGCTATGGGGGCCGCCATATTAAACCGCCATGTTGCTACAGTAGCCCAGAGTGGACAAACCAAACACTGGCTGTAGTGTATAGTTTAGTTTCTCCAACACACTTGGAAGGCTGAGCTGTATTCAAATGGTTGTAATCTGCAACTTTGCCACTAGATGCCACTAAATTCTTTAACTTGGTCATTTGATTTCCTTCATGCTTTTTTTTATTATATCCTTATAAAAGGTATAAAAGGGAACTAAATATTGTGTTTGATTGTGTCACTCAGAGCCAGCAGCCTTCTCTAAGAAGCTGAAGGACGTGTCAGTTGAAAAGGGCAAACCGTTGACGCTGGAGTGTACGTACACTGGAACTCCTAAAATCACAGTGAACTGGTACAGAGACGGCCAGCAGATCTTTGCTTCTTACAAGTACAACATCACCACGACCGAAAGCTCCTGCATCCTTGAGTGTCTGAGCACTGACGATAAGGAGGCTGCAGGGAAATACTCCTGCGAAGTGTCCAACGATGCCGGAAAGGACACGTGTGAGGCAGCTGTGTCCATCCTTGGTTAGTTCTACTTTTCTCGGCTAAAAATATTTGAACAGATTCTGCTTATATTTCTGTTTATTGTTTTTCACACTGATGCTTATATATAGAGGTCTTGACCCAACAGTTCCCACCATGAGTAAGCACTTGGCAACAGCGACAAGGAAAGATTTCCTTTTAAGAAACATACATTTCACTTTTTTATCACAATTTATTCCAACTTTGAACATTTAAGCAATTATTGGGGCCATTTTGCTCTCTGAAATAGAGTGAATTTAGGGGCAAGAAGGCAACAAAAACTAAACAAAAAAAGGAGACCTCTTTCTTACATTTTAAAAAGACATTCATGAGTTTGTAACACTAGTGAAAAGTGTGAGGTTAAGTAGCTTTTTCATGGATGGCCAGATCAGGCGTTGTGTTTGAAGGGGGACATCAGGGACATATTATTTAGTCCTGTAATAGTAGGCCAGCATACCTAGAGAGAGAGAAGAGAGGAGAGAGAGAGCAGAGAGAAGAGAGAGAGAGAGAGAAGAAGTATCACGAGGACGGCATTATTTTTTTGAACCGCTACAGTGTGAACCGGATAACGACGCGCGGAGCGAGGGCGTGTCGTTCAAAGACCAGTCTGATAACTGCACAGGTCTTCCATCAACTTAATAAAAACGGCAGAAATGGTCCCACAAAGCAACGTACACACGGAACAAAACAACATAACGTAGTAACCCGTAACTGTCTTTGGAACTTAATATGAGGAAAAAAAAAATACCACAGCTTGTACCTACGTGGGAGAACGTCCTGTCCTCCTGTCTGTTCCGCCTGTCCCTACTAGCCGTCTTCCGTTCCGTCTGTTCACCGCGAACAACTCCGGAGTGTTTAAACTTCTCTGTCTTGGGTGAGTGAGGAGTCAGTTTATCTGCTGGTGACTTAATTAACGTAATAATGTTAATTTAAGCAAGTGAAAAACGTAACTCTCCGTCCACTTTCCAGGATGTTTGGTGGGTCAGGATCTCAATCACGTACACATTCATACAGCTAATCCATATGATTATAAAGTGTCCCGCGGTTTAGATTGACGGGGGAACACTGGGACACCTTCAAACACGGCTCTGCAGTGATTGGCTCTGGTGCGCACGTGACTATGATGGGCTATCGCTGGCCAATCTAGCGCAATTTGGAAATCATTTATGGAATATTTATTAACGGTAATGTTTGTAGTCCAAACAAAGCCGACGTTGCACACCCTTCAAAACACGACAGCAGCCAATTTTGAAACTCTCCAGGCAGTCTGATCCTGATCTGCAGAGATATTTGAGCCACACACACACACACACACACACACACACACACACACACAGACAGACAGACAGAGATTTCTTGCTTTATAGATAGATAGATGCTTGGTAAAAAATAGGTCTCCAGATGGTTGGTGCACTACCTGCTCTGACCAGCAGATGTCAGCCGTCACACAGATGTTTTCTGGAATCTGTACAGTTTGTGTTTGTGCCCGCAGAGCCGGCTTACTTCGTCGAGTCCCTGGAGCCCATGGAGGTGACATCAGGAGACGCTGTGTGTCTGAAGTGTCAGGTGGCGGGCACACCTGAGATCAAGGTGTCCTGGTTCAAGGCGGACGGCAAAGTCAGGTCCAGCCCCACCTGTAAGTTAGAGTACTCGAAAGGCGTCGCCTGTCTGAAGCTCAGCAAGGCTACCAAGGCCGACATTGGAGAGTACACATGCAAGGCAGAGAACCGGATCGGCTCCGCCTCCTCCACCTGCAGACTCAATGTGCTAGGTGAACGCCTGATTTTCCTTCTATCCAAACTACTGCATTTACAACACTGTCATCTCCAAAGTGTCAACTTTTTCATAACAGTAATAAAACATTGTTAGATATTGTGAATCTCAACAGTCTTTTTCTACATTTCTAACACTTTTTTCATCTTTTATGATATATTTATTTGTAGTATTATAAAATGAGAAATAAAGTTTGTTTATATGCTGCAGCACCTTTCTGGATCAGAATTAAAAGGCAAACAAATAAACACAAAATAAAAGTAATAAGTAAAATTTAGGTGAAAATAAATAAAACAAAGCAAACGTAAGTCTAAACAGCAGTGGTTCCTAACCTGGGGGTTGCCACTAGAGTTTGCCAAAGCGTCACAGAGGGTTGGCGAGGTCTTTTGGATTTTAATACACAATAGGACTTCATCCTTCAATAGCATTTCAGTAATTTCTGTGACACCAACTCTGTGGAATTGTTTTTATTACTTAATCTAAACTTTACTTGATCTAAACTTTGAAGATCTAAATACAAGTTACATTATCTGTATATATACAGTATAATAATAGTTATTATTATTCTAATAAACTTTATTTGTATAGTGCTTTTCTTAACAAAGTGTACAATAATAATACAATTTAAATTATATTAATAAAAAATGCACACAAAGCTAAAATAAATATTGACACTATATTTTTGACATCCTTGAACTTTTTCTATAATAATATTGTGATATTCCTGGCAGCTTTATAGTAGTTAAATTAACAAAGTCAGACTGAAAAAAGGAAGACCATGTATGTGGAGTAAGGATAGTTTAAAAGGTGAGGAAGAAGAATTGAGAAAAATTAACCCACAGTAAGCCAGACTTTAAAGCATTGAATCATATTTATTTACTAATTACCATCAGTGAAGGAGTAATTATAGATTTTTTACTAAGAAAGGCTAAAGCTGTAAAAATACTCTGTTACAAGTTTGAACTGCAAATGTTACTTGATTTAAATTATTAAGTAAAATGTAATTTAAAAAGTAGTTTGAACTATTTTGGAGAATGTACAGTAATGTAAAATCTTCATTAATAAGTAACCAGAAGTATAAAGTATCATAAAATATAAAAAAAACATTTCTGCCACTCACTGTCACATCTTTTCCTTCCAGAGGCCAAAACTCCGCCAACCTTCCCCAAGAAAATCACCAGCCTGCAGCAGACCGAGGGTCAGCCGGTCAGGTTTGAGTGCCGCGTCGCCGGCTCATCGCCCATTGAGGTGTCGTGGCTGAAAGACGGTGAGCCTCTAAGGGAGGGAAGCGAGTTCTCCATGACATACGACGATAACACAGCCGTGCTGCAGATCAGCCGTGGCGAGATGAGGCACTCTGGGGAGTACGCCTGCGTGGCCACCAACAACGTGGGCTCAGCTTCCTGCAGAGCCAAGCTTACCCTCCAAGGTCTGTACCGTGCGGCACAGTTACTGATGAGCAGCACGATGTTTGAGTTTATAGCAGACTTCTAACTGTTCAGTTTCAGACATTGAAGCAGAATTTCTCAACCTTCTATGACCCTGTTGTCCCAAAGTGACCTTCAAGTCTTTTAAGGCTCATTCAGGTTCCCAAACTTTTTCATGTCAAGGATAGATGCACATCAGGACCCCCAATGTGAGAGGGTTTTGTCTTCAGGAATCCCCTCTGAGTAGATTTTTCATTTTTAGGTGGTGAAAGGTGGTTAATACTAGGGATGAGATGATGACAGAGTACACTATTATCTGTATCATCAACATATATAAAGATGGTCGACATGACAGCTCTCCAAAAGTTAATCCAAAACATCTCTACCTCTCTATCTGACTGCAGTATAGACTCTCTCTTTCTGTCTCCCCCTGGTAGCTGACTGCAGTATAGACTCTCTTTCTATCTCCCCCTGGTGGCTGACT